GCTCCAAATCCAACAGCACGTCAAGTATTAAAAACCATTTGTCTCCATTCACTCCTATCAAACACGCTCACGCATGCCGCGGAAGTCCAAGCCCCTCGCACACAAAACCTCCTTTAACCCCCTCCCTCCAACCTTTCCTAGGCCGACCCCCACCCTGCCTTCCTTCCACTACAGACTGATACACTCTTGAAGTCATTCTGTTTCGCTCCATTCTCTCTACATGTCCGAATCACCTCAACAACCCTTCATACATGATATAAAGAATTACTATTTAACCTAAATGATGAATGATCACGTCGACCCTGATCTAAACCTATTAATCTAAAACTCAATCAAAATTTATTTGAAAGTAACTGCCTCTGTTACACAGCACCGCAAGCCAACACTGTCCTAAATACTAACTAAAAGTATAACAGTTTCTTAACTACAACATCAGGTCCTTAAGCAAACACTCTGATGACCTGGCATTCCTTGATTCCTTAAAGAGCAACCTTTTCCTGTATTATTCTCAGTGAAACCTGGCTTAAGCAGGACACAATAGATATCTACTCACTACCAGGATACACAGCAATCCACAACTGCAGCCCATACAAAGTTAGGAATGGTATTGCCATTTATTACTCTAATCAACTATCTTGTATTAGCACCACCTGTTATAGTGATAAATATGGAGGAATATTTTTTTGCTGAATTTACAGTAAAAAACTTTAAGAATCCTATAAAAATCATGCCATTTACCGGATGCTACACAAACATCCCAAATTTCAGTGAGAAAATTAAAGACACTAATAACAAGCAGGCAAATGAATAAACACCACTTTCTCATCACCACTTTCTCAACACCACTTCAACATCAACCTTGGCTTACCAGATGATTAGCCTGTGACTGATTTCATCAAAAAATATGAACAACACACTTCTCATACCAACAATAACTAAACCCAACCAGGCTGACCGAGACAATTGGGAACCATAATTGACTATATATGGAAATATACTAGCCCCCTTAAATCAGGGATAATCACAGACAGCACTACTGACCACTACCCCCACCTTCCTCTTAACAAACATTAGTAAACCCCCACTGGAATACAACAAAGTTTCATTTTGACTCCTGACGAGGCCTTCAATAGGTAATTTCACAGCAGAGCTAGAGACAGTTGACTGCCTACAGAATTCTCCAAGGCAGTGGCATTGACAATTTGGGCAGGCATATTTCTGAATAAATTACTTAGACTATACAACAAACATTGTCCTATAAAAACGAAACAGATTATGAAAAAATGGCTCGGTTTTCCCATGGTTAACTATAAGAATGCTGAGATCCATTGATAAGAAACACCAATGTGAAAAGCATATAGACAGGGCTTAATACACAAAGAATTCTTAAACACTATTCATCATTCTCACCAAACTTTAAAAAAAAAAGCCAAACAAAATTTTATTATTCCAGCAGGTGACAAAAAAAAAAGCACAATACCGTGACTGGAACAATACCAAATAACCGCACATAGAAGAGAGGAGCTTATGAGATGTTTTGGTCCGACTTGGACCTTTACAAAGTCACTCAGTGTGACTTTGTAAATGGTCCAAGTCGGACCGAAACGTCGTCGTAAGCTCCTCTCTTCTAGTGTGGGTTATTTTTTGTATTATTCCAGCAGATTCACTGAAAAAAAGGAGATGTAAAAAAGACTTGAAAACACTCTCAGATTATGGGAACCCACAAACTGAAAAAAATGCCATTCATTCAATTCAAGTTTATTTTCTATAATGGTTAAAAATGTGGGGTTTACAGGTTTTGGGTGTTTTGTGGTTTACATGTTATAAAATACTAATTACAGAGGTGGCCACTAGGACACCTAGCATGGCTAGGCATTTCGAGCAGACTTAATTAATTCTTTAACATTAATCCTTACAGATTATGGTATTAAGGCTAAGTGACTACCATCATAATTTGTGATTTAGCAATGTGAATGCTTTTGTTTTGGCACAATACAAGGGGTCTATATTTGAGTATCATAGGGAAACTTATGACTAGTTAGGATTTATTATTTATTATTTATTTTTGTTAATGAGGGAGCTACTAAAAATATCTACTTGGATGACAGCCAATAAACTACACTTATCACTGACAAAACCTTCTAATTTTTTTTGGGAACAAGCAGGTGTTGCACAACTTAACATTAAGATCACAACACTCTTATTGCCCAAAAATAATGAGGGCAAATTCCCGCCTACACCTCAACAGCAAAACCCGAATTTCAGCACCCCCCATATCCAACACAACAAAAAAAAAGTATCCAAAATGGTTGGGGTCCTCTCCAAGATATGTTACTACATACCACAATCAGCCCTACTCACTTTAAACTATTCACTCATCTATCCCCGCCTCACCTATGCTATTTGTGCCTGGGGATCAACAGCAGCAGCAACAAAACCTAAACCAATAATAACCCAACAAAAAGCTGGCAGTAAGAATAATCACGCAATCAAATCCCAGGCAAACACACCCCCACTCTTCAAAGATCTAACGTACAGAGCATCCTACTTACTACTGTGCAACCTACGTTTTCAGAATCTTAACCCTTTCAGGGTCGGCAGGGCCTCTCTTAACTTGCTCTCAGGGTAGGAAATTTTTCGAAAAAAAAAAATTATTTTTTCTTATGAAATGATAGAGAATTTTTTTCCCGATCATAACGACACCAAAAGTAATTAAATTGACGGAAAACTCACGGAGTTATGCTTCCCCGAAGTAGTGGTCTCGACAGTGTTTGCGCATCGGCGATTTCGCCCACTTTGAGCTCTATTTTCGGCCAATTCCTATTCCAGTTGACAAAAATCATACCTATTTCGCTAGAACTCCATTTTTTCTATCGAATGAATACAAGAAACTACCCATTTTCCGATTTCCACTATCCAATAATGTGGTCAGAAATTGGCAATTTTGCCAATTTCCACACAAATTTTAAAAGATGCCGATTTCCATATAAGGTCCAGAATAAACAAGACAGACTTTTCTGGCACTAAAATAACATTTCCTCTGTTCATTACTCATTTCCCCCAGGCCTCTGTTACATTTTCTTTTGCTTTCCACTTCGAATTTTTATTCTCACAAAAAATAGAAGCTTTATGTATGCAGACTACTGCTTTTCGTGTAGAAATGTGTAGAAATGTACAATATATCAGGGCACTTGTGAAAGAATATACAAATCACCAGTTGATGTGTATTGGACGCGTGGCATGATTTGTTTTACCTTTGAACTTTGGCATAATTGTACATTTCTGCTACTTTGAGCTCAATTCAAGGGACTTTCCATTGTGAAACCAATCAAAATCATCTCAATTTTCCATAATATGTCCTTTTCCCTTCTAAAAAAATGAGACCAGGAAACTTGAATACAACTATAAATAGCGTACGAAAAAACACTGCAAAGTCGCTGTCTTAAACCAAAAAAAACAGTTTTTTTTTTCTCATTATGCACTGTGTGCTGCAGGATTTTTTTATACCGCACACACTGACCACATAGACCCATTTTTTCATATGTAAAGGGCCCACCAGCTTTCTCTTGCTAGATTTGAAGGTGCTAGAATTTATGCGACTATACACCCCCAACCCTTGCGTGCAAGCCATATTAGTACGCACCAACCCTGAAAGGGTTAAAGTCCCTATTAACCCAGGACTAAAACACTTTCTTTATAGTTGTGACAGGACCCATAGGCATAACACCAGGCACAAAATCTCTGACATTCCCCGTGTCCCGGCTGAACCTATACAAAAATTCAACGTACAGAAAAGGACCTAAAATCTGGAACACCTTACCTGAAAACTCTAGAACTACAGACACAACCATCACTTTCAAAACTACTGTTAGAAAACAATCTTATCTCCCTGACACACCCCACCATCAGCTAACTACATGATAACCACCTATTCTTTGTATCATACACACAATGAAAAACAACCTAGACCTACTCTCGATATCTGTGATTCCCCACAATTCACACTTACACTCACCCAATTGACTGTAGACTTAGAAATACGTAATAAAACTATTACCCAATGAATCCTAAACTAGTCATAGTTTGCCTGGATTACTCTAATATAGGAACTTTAATAGAAACTATACAGTGGACCTCCGCATAACGATTACCTCCGAATGCGACCAATTATGTAAGTGTATTTATGTAAGTGCGTTTGTACGTGTATGTTTGGGGGTCTGAAATGGACTAATCTACTTCACAATATTTCTTATGGGAACAAATTTGTCATACTGGCACCTGGACATACTTCTGGAGTGAAAAAATATCGTTAACCGGGGGTCCACTGTATATCTAACCAAGACAAAACCATTCACATTGCTAAATTTACGAACTGTAATGCAGTTACCTAGCCTTCGTATCAACATGCTCCATAATCTGTACCAGTGTAGAGTTTGAATTAATCTTAGTCTGCCCAAATTGCCTAGTCGTGCTAGGTGTGATAGTTGCCCCTTCTGTAATTAGTATTTTATAATATGTAAACCATATGTTGATAACCAATATCCTATAATATGTAAACCTCACATTGTATCTTTATAGAGAATAAACTTGATTGATTGATTGATTGATCAGGGTAATCCTTGCTGTCTTGAATATGAATGGGAAGGTTGAAGACTCAACAGATTTGTTAAACAGTGTTGCAGTAATTGGTGTCAGCACACGAGCTGCTTTTTTATATATGAATGGTGGCAAGTTATTTAGATCTCCTGCCTTATTTTTTAATGATTTAATGATGAGTGAGACTTGAGTAAATTTCGTTGGTGCTAGATAAAGGGTATTTGGGTTGTTTACCATTGAGGTAGTCTTTTGGTTGAGTATTTGACCTTGGATTTTGCTAGCTAACTTTGATCCTACAGTATAGAAGACATTAGGTTTGTTGGCAGTGTCTATAGGCTGTATGTGAGGTTCTTCTGGTTTAGTTAAGTTAATCACTCTGTTTCTACAGTGCTCGTCATAGCATTATGCCGGGTGAGCGCCCCTGCATAATACTGTGACAAAAATCAAAGGTCTACCATACAAGGGGTCTTTTTTTGTCAGTGCATTATGCTGTGTAGGGGCCATTAGCATGACATCATGGCCTGCTGCCACACACTACAGTGACTCCTCAGTGCTGACGTGCTGCTGTAGTGAAAGGAAGTGTTGCACTTTTGTCTCATCCACCCCATCTTTTGTCCAGTGTTCCCTTTGGTTTTGTGGCTATACATGTTTGATTATGGTAAAAATAAATCTTTAATACCTCAAACTATGCTGAAATCATAGGGCTTCACAAAGCTGGGCACCAGACAAAAGAAATAGTGGAGAATGTTGGTGTGTGTGAGCGTTCAGTGAGGAACTGGGTGCAGCGCTCAAGGCTGGTGGCGCTGTCGAGATACCATCTGCCAAACCTCAGCTTGGTCCCTTGAAGAAGACATCTGTTCGTACCTTAACTGTGTTAAAGAAGCAGTTAGAGAGTACACCTAAAATAACTGCTAGAGAATTGAAAGAAAAAAACCCACATCTTCTCTCAGAGGTGTCTTTAAGAACTGTTAGCAGACTTGTGTCAAAACTGGCTAAAGTAGTCACTGCCAGGTTAAGAAACCAATCCTTTCCAAGACACAGAAGAAACATAGGCTGGATTATGCAAAGAAATATCTTCACTGGAATCCTCGTCAGTGGTCTGAAGTACTTTGGAGTGATGAAGCAACCTTCACTGTCACCTCTAACTGTGGTGAACATGTGTACTGGCCCAGAGGTACTGACCTCGCTAGACCCACGCTACACCTGTGGACCCCAAATACCCAGTCTCGCTCATGGTTTGGAGGTGTTTCAGTACTCAGTGTTGGTAAACTCAGTATATGAATCAGCATAATTACCTGGAGTTATTGGGTGACAATTTACCTGAGGCGTTTGACAAGTGTAGGGGCTATGGTTTTTATGCTGGACAGTGCACTCTGTAATACCGCAGATCTGTAGTTCAGTGGCTTAAGGACTGTGAAGTGAAGTTCTTAACCCTTAAACTGTCCAAACGTAGATTACGTTTTTTCAACATATGAAAGTATGTAAAAAAACGTAGATCTTTTTTTTTTTTTTTTACATATAAAAGCATGTAAAAAACTTTGATCTACGTTTTTTTTATATATTTGAAAATATGTAAAAAAAACGTAGATCTACTTTTGAAGCACTACACATGTGAACGTAAATCTGTTTGGATAGTTTAAGAGTTGAATGACTGGCCAGGGAATTCCCCAGACTTAAACCCTATTGAGAACCTTTGGCCAATAGTGAAATGAAGTTTACTGGACAAGGATATCAGTTCCATCCTGCGGCTGGAGGCTGCTCTGCATGAGGCATAGAATAATATACCTCCCCAAACCCTCAAGAATTTGTGAGAGTTCGAAAAATTCAGATTCAGGAAGGATATAGGAAAGCACTGGTTTGGTAATTGAGTTGTGGATAGTGGAACAAACTCCCAAGTACCGTCATAGAAGCTAAGACATTGAAACAGTTTAAAACTAATTAAATAAATACAGAGTGGGTGAGTGTGAGTTTGACCTGACTAGCTTTTTCTACTAGGTCAGATGCCATCCTCCTTCCTTAAGTGAATGTAACCTGACCTGACTAGGTTAAGGCATTGGCTTAAGGGGTAGGAGAATTGGACCTGCCTTGCATGGGCCAGTAGGCCTGCTGCAGTATTCCTTCTTTCTTATGTTCTTATTAAAACCTCAGTAAGTGTGCAAATATATATATATAATCATTCATGGTATTGTTTGTATTTCATATGTGTGTGGGGAGAGGGCGGCATAATGCCGTGACTAGCACGTACGTGGACCCTCGACCAGCGATGGCATCGATTAACGATAAATCTGACTGGCGATACATTTTATCGCAAAAATTTTGCCTCGATATACGCAAAAAACTCGACCAACACTATTCGTTCCGTCTGAGACGCGTCCACTTCTGGCCAGTGTTTACAAGCCAGCCAGCCACCGTGGTCGCTTCCAAGCATACAATCGGAACTTTTTCATATTATCACAGCCTTTTTAGTGATTGCACCTGCAAAAATAAGTCACCATGGCCCCAAGAAAGCTTCTAGTGCCAACCTACACCCAAAAAGGGTGAGAATTACTTTTGAATATGAAGAAAGGGGATCATTGCTAAGTATGAAAGTGGAGGGGCATGTCTCCGAGCTGGCCAGGCTGTACACAAAACCCCAATCAACCATCGCTACTATTGGGGCCCCAAGAAAAACGGCAATCAAGGAAGCTGTTCTTGCCAAGGTGCAACTATGTTTTCGAAACTTTAGATCGCAAGTGATAGAAGATGTTGAGAGGGCTGTTATTGGGATGGATAAACGAAAAACAAAATAGCAGGAGATAGCATCTCTCAAGCGTTTATATGTGAAAAGGGGTAGAAGTTGCTGACGATTTAATTAAAAAATGCCAGCAACTAGTGGTGATGTGAGTGAATTTAAGGCCAGAAAAGGTTGGTTTGAGAGATTTAAGAATCGTAGTGGTATACATAGTGTGATAAGGCATGGTGAGGCTGCCAGTTTGGACCAAAAAGCAGCTGAAAAAAATGTGCAGGATTCAAGGAGTAATAGACAGTGAAGGACTGAAACCTGAACAAGTGTTTAATGGTGACATGACAATGTTGTGAAACCCCTTTAGGAATATCAAAAGGAACGGGAGGTACAGGCCTCTATGGGCAGATATGTTGTGCGACAGAGGTCCAGTGACTCTCAAGCTGGTCCTAGTGGCATTAAAAGAAGGGAAGTAACCCCAAAATAGGCTTGCCACCTCAAGTCCTAATGGAAGGGGATTCCCCTTCTAAACACTAAAACCATCAACACACTCCCACCTTTTCCCGTCCCATCAATCATCACCCGATCTTCAATAAAGGTAAGTGTCATGTAACTGGGGCATGTCTTCTTCAGTTTGTGGGGTATTAAATTAATATTTCATGTGTTAAAATTTTTTTTTTCAATACTTTTGGGTGTCTTGGACGGAAATTTAAAATTTTATTCCATTTTTTCTTATGGGAAAATTAACTTGACTAACGATTATTTTGACTAACGATGAGCTCTCAGGAACGGATTAATAGCGTTAGTCGAGGGTCCACTGTACATGTGACTTTCAAATCACACCTTGGTCACCTTTGCCATATGCTACGGAATATTTCACATATTTTTATTTAGTGTGTTGACTTAATTACATTTATAAAATAAAGGAGGTATTGTACAATTAAACTGTTAAATGAAAAAAACATATTAATCAAGCTCCTCAAGTTTTGTTAGTGCAAATAAAGTTTTCCTCTTAAAGGGTTAAGATTTACTTATTGCTTTATAATTCTTTGTTTCAGTTTTCCCATTAATTAAAGAATTCTTAGTAAAATGACTGGTCTGCAAGGATTCAATTTTACTACCCTTCTTGATTAATTTCTTTTGTTAAAAGTATGAGGAGGTTATTATTCATTAGCTCCACAATGTGTTGTGTTCAGTTATATGTTTTGAATGATTTATTCAGTTGTTAACTTTCACACCGTCCATAAGGTAGTCCGTTATAGGTTTTTTCTAGATCCATGAGGTACACATATTTATTTTTATTTTTGTTATGTGTAACAGTGTTATCACACTCCAGATAAATATCTAATTCACATATTTGTACCTTTACTAAAACTTCCTGTCTCCACACTTGTTCTACTTTTCATCCCATCCTTATATTAGTTATACAGTGGACCCCCGCATACCGATTTTAATCCGTGCAAGAGGGGTCATTGTTATGTGAAATAATCGGTATGCGAATGAATTTTCCCTATAAGAAATAATGGAAATCAAATTAATCTGTGCAAGACACCCAAAAGTATGAAAAAAAAAAATTTTTACCACATGAAATGTTAATTTTAATACACACAAACTGAAAAAGGCATGCACACTTACATGACACTTACTTTTATTGAAGATCTGGTGATGATTGATGGGATGGGGGACGGGAGAGAGAGTGTTAGTGTTTAGAAGGGGAATCCCCTTCCATTAAGACTTGAGGTGGGCGGTCCTTTTCTGGGGTTACTTCCCTTCTTCTTTTAATGCCACTAGGACCAGCTTCAGAGTCACTGGACTTCTTTCGCACAACATATCTGTCCATAGTGGCCTGTACCTCTCGTTCCTTTATGACTTCCCTAAAGTGTTTCACAAATTGTCAGTGTACAGGTTGCCAACACGGCTTGCAATAGCTGTGTGAGGGTGATTTTCATCAAAAAAGGTTTGCACTTCAAGCCACTTTGCACACATTTCCTTAATCTTTGTAGTAGGCAACTTCTTAAATTTTTCTCTCTCCCCTCCTCTGAACCAGTTTCCTCAGGTCTGGCCTCTTGCTGTTGAAGTTGATCTATCAGCTCATCAGTGGTTAGTTCTTCATTGTCCTCCTCCACCAACTCTTCCACATCCTCCCCACAAACCCTCCAACCCAAGGACTTTCCCAATGCCACAATGGATTCCTCAACTGGCATAATCCTCTCAGGGTTAGCCTAAAACCCCTTCAAAATCCTTTTTGTCTACACATTCTGGCCACAGTTTCTTCCAAGCAGAGTTCAAGGTCTTCTTAGTCACTCCCTCCCAAGCCTTACCTATAAGGTTTACACAATTGAGGATATTAAAGTGCTCTCTCCAAAACTCTCTTAGAGTCAGTTGAGTTTCTGAGGTCACTACAAAGCACCTTTCAAACAGAGCTTTTGTGTACAGTTTTTTGAAGTTTGCAATAACCTGCTGGTCCTTGGGCTGCAGGAGACGAGTGGTATTAGGAGGCAAAAACTTGATGTTAATGAATTTCATGTCCCCATAAAGTCGCTCTGCCACGTCTGTAGGATGACCAGGGGCATTGTCTAACACCAGGAGGACTTAAGTTCTAATTTCTTTTCAGTTAGGTAATCTTTCACATTGGGGGCAAATGCATGGTGTAACCAGTCATAGAAAAAGTCCCTAGTGACCCATGCCTTACTGTTTGCCCTCCACAGCACACACAAATTCTCCTTGAGGACATTCTTTGCCTGAACGCTCTGGGAGTTTCAGAGTGATACACTAATAAAGGCTTAACTTTGCAATCACCAGTAGCATTGGAACACATCAACAAAATAAGCCTGTCTTTCATAGGCTTATGTCCTGGGAGTGCCTTTTCCTCCTGAGTAATGTAGGTCCTGCTTGGCATTTTCTTCCAAAACAGGCCTGTTTCATCACAATTAAACACTTGTTCAGGTTTCAGTCCTTCAGTCTCTATGTACTCCTTGAATTCATGCACATATTTTTCAGCCGCTTTGTGGTCTGAACTGGCAGCCTCACCATGCCTTATCACACTATGTATGCCACTACGCTTCTTAAATCTCTCAAACCAACCTTTGCTGGCCTTAAATTCACTCACATCAGCACTAGTTGCAGGCATTTTTTTAATTAAATCCTCATGCAACTTCATAGCCTTTTTGCTTATGATCGCTTGAGAGACGCTATCTCCTGCTAGCTGTTTTTCATTTATCCACACCAATAAGAGTCTCTCAATATCTTCCATCACTTGCGATCTTTGTTTCGAAAACACAGTTAAACCTTTGCCAAGAACAGCTTCCTTGATTGCCTTTCTGGTGCCCACAATAGTAGCGATGGTTGATTGGGGTTTCTTGTACAACCTGACCAGGTCGGCGATACACACTCCACTTTCATACTTATCAATGATCTCTTTCTTCATTTCTATTGGAATTCTCACCCTTATTGGTGTAGGGTTGGCACTAGAAGCTTTCTTGGGGCCCATGGTCACTTATTTTCCAGAAACAGCACCGAAAACACTGTAATAATACGAAATATTCCGATTGTATGCTTGGATGTTACCGTGGAGGCTGGCTGGTAAACAATGGCACGGGCAGCACATGTGAGGCTGGCTGAGGGCGCACATTGGACGCGTCTCGGACGAAAATCGGTGAGCGGGTTTTTAAGCGGTATGCGAGGCAAAATTTTTGCGATTAAAGCAAGCGGTATGCGGATTAATCGTTATGTGATGCCATCGGTATGCGGGGGTCCACTGTATTGTAACTTTATACCCTTTCAGCAAGTTGATTCTCTGATAGCTTCTGTGTTATTCCTTAGTACCCATGATAGTCTTATCTTATTATAAGCATTGCTGCTTATTTTGTTTCTTCATTTTTCTGGCACCTTTCATATTCTTTTAAGAGCATAAATTCAATTTGTTTTTTATTTATAATTACTCTTTTTTCACTAAGTCAGTACTTTTGGTCATCTTTACTGTTATTGATAATTTCATATGAGGTTTATGGCCTTTAAATTTATTAGAGTTTACTAGCTTTTTTTAGCACTTCTCATGACAAAAATGATAATAAAATACCAACATTTCTGCTGTTATGTGGAATATAACATCATTCCTGTGAATATGAAAAAAGAAAGTCCACCAGGTAGAGGTCAGACCTGAAGAGTTTATATAAGGGTCAGTGATGGTTTCCTAAAGGGAAGGGTTATTCAAGAACTATCCAGCCGTACATCACAGGTTAGGTACATGGGGTGAAATGCTCCACTTATGAGGTATTAGACCTTTTTGAGGAATTAGTGAAGGCAGTTGTATACTAAAATTGCTTCTAGCACTCTTTGTTGATGATATTTAAGTAGCTTTTTATTAAATAATTTATTTCTGTAACTTTTTTATGGTTAATGGAAATTTTTTTTCAGTTTCTCTGTGTCGTGGGACAGTACCTGTGTTGCTGGGTTTGGCTCGGGCCCTTGGCCGCTCCACATCTGGGGACCCTCTTTTCCTGCAGATTTTTCCAGAGCCAGTCATCCCAACTCCAATTGCTGCTGAGCCTCCACAAATGGCAAAAAAGAAGAGTTTCATAAATTTTCGTCCCATCATTCCAAGGTCACTGTCCTCCACGCTACCCTCATGTTCTGATGTTGTTTCTCTTGTTAGTGTGGACAGTGACCGAGATGTTGGGTTAGTAAATAAATTTTTTGTACCTGCTGTTTGTGTTTACCCTGCTATATTTTGTCCTTCACTTGCTGCTCCATTATATTCAGGGGGTGTAATTTGACTACATGTATTCTCTTTTTGGCATTTGGCTTACTATTTGGCTCCATTGATCGATTTGCTCTTAAAAATTCCTTTGGCAGATGTGACATGATAGTGCTGCAGTTGTATTTGGATGTAAATAGATTCACTCTCGCCAATTTTTGTTTCCTGGAAATAATTGAAAAAAGGTAGATGCACACAGAAGGAAGTACAGTGGAACTCCGGTTTTCGTACAGTCTGCATATCATACAATTTGGATTTAGAAAACTTTTTTGGGTGAAATTTTGGTCCACATTTCGTACCTCCATCTAGAAATCGTATGTATCAGATGCGTCCGCCCGCCCGGGACGCCGCCACGTACGTGTTTCAGTCTGGCTCTGTCACTGGTTGAGTGAGCATTCATCCAAAACATTTCGCAATTTTTGTGCTTGTTTATTGATTGTGACTGCGAAATAAGCCACTATGGGCCCAAAGAAAGTTCCTAGTGTTATCCCTGTGATAAAGAAAATGAGAAACACAATAGAATTTAAGAAAGAGATTGTAGAAAAACATGAAAGTGGCATGTGTTTAGCCGAGCTTGCCAGGATGTATGGGAAGTCGAAATCAACAATCTGTTACATCCTGGCAAAGAAAATAGAAATCAAGGAAGCTAAAGTTGCAAAAAGGGTAAATGTGCTGATGAAACAGAGCTCATAAACAATCAAAGGTGTGGAGAAGTTGTTGTTGGTGTAGATCAATGAGAAACAGTTCGTGGGAGATAGTGTGTGGAGTTGGTCATTTGTGAAAAGGCAAGGCAGTTGCATGCAGATCTTGTAAAGAAAATGCCTGGAATGAGTGCTGTTGTTAGTGAATTTAAGGCCAGCAAAGGCTGGTTCAACAGATTCAAGACGTGTAGTGGCATAAGCAGCGTTGTAAAGCATGGTGAGGCTGCAAGTTCAAACAAACGTGCAACAGGGGTTCAATGCCAGTAAAAAACAAAGGAGGGAAGTAACCCCGAAGAGGGCTTTGTTACCTGAAATCCTTATGGAGGGAGTTTCCCCTTCCATACAGTAACCTCAGTTCCCTCTCCCCTCCTCGCCTTCTTCAGTACGCCAATAAGAGTCTTCAATAAAGGTATGTAATGTTCATTTATTATTAACCCTTTGACTGTTTCCGACGTATAAATACGTCTTACGAGCCAATGTTTCTGACGTATTTATACGCACAAATTCTAGCGGCTTCAAATCGAGCGCCAAAGGCCTGGTAGGCCTACACGGGAGAGAATGGGTCTCAGTGGTCGGTGTGCACCCTGTGAAAAAAATCTGGGACCCAGCGGTGCATTGTGGGAACGCCATGTTGTCAGTCCATTTTCACCTGCCTCTGGGGTAAGAAGTTCCTCACCCTCGGCGGATTGGAGGTCTTTTTTTCCCCAAGTGATAGCTCTAACAGCGATGAAAATGTCAGTGACAGGAATTCAAGGGTTTTCAAGTGAGTTTACAAAAAAGTGCCCAGGATAACGAAATAGGACAAAAAACCCAGATGACCCAAACCTTGACCTCGGGTGCGGGCCCGGTTTGTTCACGTTTCACTTGCCTGTACAGGACGAAAGGGGAAATTTTTGGGTCGTGTACAACACCCTGATGATAGCAGTGTTTGTGATAGGGTTTAAAAAAAAAGGGCATTGAAAGCGTTCTAGTGACAGTGAGGTGAATATTCCCCAGTAAAGGGCCCAGTATGTACAGTAGTATGCGGTCGGGTAGTTTTTCATATGTTGTTCCAAGGGGAAGGAGAAACTCGGGGACACACCCCGGGGCCCAACACACACCTGATGTGAAGATGAAGTATTGTAACGAGGGGTATGAATGGTGACAGTAGGGAGGGGGCAGTGGGGGTGATATTGGGGGTGGCAGGGCCCCATGTGGCCCCATCACCGGGCCACGTACTAGCCACGCGGTGATCAGCAGAAAAACCCAGCCCCCCCTACCCACACTGCCAAAACCCTGCACACCAAACCCTGCCAGCCACAACCACGGTACAATATCCGACCCCCCAGAGACTCACTGGGATTGGCAGGAGGGTGACGAGTTTTTCCCCGTCCCCATGACTTTGATGAAACACAAAGTGGAATAAACCCATTTGTCCACTTGGGGAACATCCCAGTGAACGGATGCTTGATTTTTTTCGATGAACCCGTGGACACATTGTCAGGGAAACAAATACATACTGTATTACACCATGGCAAATACAATTTCTCACCAAAATCACGGCACACAAGTGGAAGGGAGAAAACTTGGCAGAGTGTACCTTTTTTTTTGCCACAAAAATGCTTATGCCACAGTGTATAAGCACACTGTCACCACAATGGACAACAGATCGCCTGTTTTCAACCCCAGGTTTTTAGGCTTAAGGTTCAATCGTTTCGATACTGTTAGTATGTTACACTTTTCAGAAAAAACCCAGCCTGACAAAACGACAGGTTATAAAAGATAAAAATGTTTTTTAGTCCCTGAAAAAAAAGTGCGCAGTATTTTTACCTTTCGGGAAAGCTTGTTTTTGGGTCCTTGTTTTATTCAAAGAAGACTTCATTCAAGAATAATCCCAAGAAAGAAAAAACCTTTGGTAAAAAGTTATTTGTACTGTGTGATTGCAAAATGGTTTGTTTTAGATATTTTGTGTACATGGCAGTAATACTTTGGGATACCAGAATTTATTGGGTACTTGGTATTGGTTCAAAAATGATGGAACCATATCTTGAAAAGGGGCATATGTTATTTACTATAACGGTACACAACCCCCTTATCAGTGATTTCTTGCGGGGAAACTTGACAGCGTGTGGGGCACAGGCGTGGTAATCGAAAAACTTTATGCCAAGGGTTCGACGCTGGCCTCGCAGAGGTGAGGTGAAACCCTTTGCTGCCAATGACATCATGGTTTTCGGGGGGCATGACAAACGTGATTCACATTGTTGACATCAGTTCACAAAAAACGAAATGGTCCCCAGTGGCGGGGGACAACAGAGAGAACCAATGAACCCATTCAAAAGCCTGCGCTGTCATGGACTAAAAACCTCAAAAAGCTCTTAGTGGAAAAATGTGACATCAGTTTGGGTTTTGCGACTGGTACGAAGAGTTATAAGGGGTATATCAATTTTTTTTTCCACTTGTTGAATCTCTAGCTAAATGCTTATAACATATACAATTTTGAAACCAACAAAACCCCAAATTATGGTAAATTTTGCCTGTCGTAATAGAAAATAATTGCAAAGTCCCAAAGGAGCAACCCCTAAATGACCCCCCCACAGATCACTCGTAGAGGCCTGGTGATCATCCCCCAACAATGCCCTACTACTCCCAAGAAAATTCTAAAGAGGTGTTTGTATTATGCATACCACAAAACCCCCACAAACAGCGAGACACTCGTTTTATGTGCGAGGAGGTAAGTCCCCCTCCATATCCCCATTTTAAAGAGTTCCAAAAGCTGCAGCAGTTCTAGGAAGTTGGTTTAGTGACTGTACATATGTATAAATTTTATGGAAAAATATTAATAAACATTTTTTTGTATTGTTTTTTGTGAAAAATTAAACCCAAAAACTAATAGTGATAAAGTTTGTTCGTTATTGGTTGTAAAAATGAGTGTTATTTAACAACCCCTTACTTTGGGTTCCACGGGCCCAAAAAGTTACCTGGAAAAGAAAAAATATGAAAAATCAAAAAACCTTTAAATTAGAGTAAAAAAAGAATCCCGGGTGGGCGGCAGTCCCGTGTTGCCGTACCACATCATTTCTGCAAACTTTGCGGCTCTATACCCGGTAAGTACGATGGAAAAAATTTTTTTTTTGGGTTTAAAAACACTAGTAAAAATATTCTACATTTTATAAGAAAAAAATTTTTTTTTTTTCGAATTTTTGGGGCGACATAGAATGACAGTTTCAAGGGGGGGCCGAAACATCAAAGGGTTAAAATCAGATTTATATTTATTTCTCATTTTTTTTGCATGTAAAATACAGTTATTTTTTAAAAAATGTATTTTTTTTTAATATTTTTGGGTGTCTGGAAGGTTAATTGTATTTACAAAATTTCTATGGGAAATATTAATTAATTTTTCATCTTTTGGATCTGGACTGACCCTTTTAAAAGGGTTAAGTACAAAATAAGTTTATTTTATTTTAAAGTACAGGCCCCCATCACAATCCCGGGATCATTGGGGCTGTAGTGTGCCGGATTTCAGAGTGGGTTAGGTTTTGATATACTTAAAAAAATTAACCAACTTGACTTACACAAAAGTTAATTTAACATCGGCAAAAAAAAAAACATTTCCGCTACTTTGAGCTCAATTTTAAGGTACTTTGTCATGAAATCAAACAAAATATGCTATTTCTGTAATATATCTTCCCTTCTGTCAAATGAGTCCAAAAAAATGAGAAAACAACCCTAAAAACCTACAAAAATATACTGCAAAAAGGGGGCTAAGGCTGAGAGTGAAAATCCCTTATTTATTGTCCCTTTTTTTTATTTTTTTTGTCGTTTAAAAAACTCTTTCCATCATACATTGCCCAAGTTTCAATGAGAAAGCCAACAAAAACGAGAAAAAAAATATTTACCAAAAAACATACATTTCAATCCAACCCGGTACGGAAATAAGTCACTTTTTCTGATTTTCTGGGTTTTTCCCAGGGTTTTCTATCATCACTGATGAATTGTATTTATTTTCTGAATAAATTACTTACTTCTATTGCAAATGAGTAAAGAAACTGCCCATTTCACTTTTTCAACTACCCAGTAAAGTGGTCAGAAATTGGGGAATTTGGGGCCCATTTTACAAAATTTTTAAAAAGTGCCAATTTCAAAATGGGTCCAGAATAAACAAATTAACATTCCCGGCACTAAAAATAAAATTTTCTTGTTCTTGTCACGGCTACAGGGCCTCTTAATTTTTCTTGCTTCCCT